GAGAGAGAGAGAGAGAGAGAGAGAGAGAGAAAGAGAGAGAGAGAGAGAGAGAGAGAGAGAGAGAGAGAGAGAGAGAGTAGCCAGGTACTGAAGAGGGAGATGACCTTCCAGTGGCTCCCGTACCTTCCTTCCGACCTGCTGGTGGTCCCCACTTACCCCTGCCTCCGGCGATCTGTCCACACCTCCCTATCCTCCAGCTACGTCTGCCAACCTCCTCCCACTTGGAACTCTTCTTCGTCTGCTGGTCCAGACTAACAGCGGAACAACTGACTAGGGAAGGCGGGGATTGGCCGACAACCAAACAAACTATGGCCAGCTGACACGTGGCAGAAGGGAAGACGAGAGGAGGAGGAGGAGGAGTTCGCAGAAAAGACAGAGTGCGATCGAGATGACTCTGTTGTTCCCACTTGTGAACTGGCCGTCGCCATAAATCCAAGGGGGTCTTCGTTTTCAGACGGTGACATTCTTAGGGCCAAATAAGTAGGTTCAATTTCGTTCAAACCGTTTTAACAACATGGCTGGTATTTAGTGAGTAGTGGAGGCCACGCCCACATTCTAATGATCCAGGGCAAACGAGTGCCAGCAACCAATCCATGTGTTCTCCTTTCTTTCATTAATCTGCCATTGCAATGAAGAGAAGATTGTGAACGACGTCCCAGGCCTTTTTCACTTGGTTGACCATAAATAAGCCCCCCCAAAGTGGGCTGTCCTAACACAGGCAACGTGTCAAAATGTCCCTGTTCTGATCAGTTCAATATCTGATCCGTGGTCCATGGGACCGAGAAAAGAAAAAGAAAGAGGGAAAGTACGCCGGAGTCACAAAAACTGACGTATAATTGCACTATGGGCCAAGATACAGTTTCGATTTGCAGTTCGGGCAATGTACACAGCCCAGATTTCTGGCCAGGTAGGGTGCCCGAAGTGCAATTGAATACTGTATCTTGCCCCATAGTGCAATTCTAACTCGTTTTTGTGACTCTTAGACTCCTGAAGTTACCCAAAAAGGTCTTTTTTTTTTCCTTTTTTTTTACGAAAGGCCCTTGTACCCAAAAAGGTCTGTGTTTCAAATAGGGAGAAACTGTTGGGATTTCCCTCGCCACTTGCTGGCAGGACCTGCGGGAAGGCTTGTTGCCCCCACAAGGCTACAAGGTACAGTCCACAATTTGGAAAACCCGAATTGCACCCCCGTTAAAATGACAAACGGATGCAACTTTGGAGGGGTTTGTGGATGAGAAGGCATCTGATGACTTGCTTGCCGGAAAGGAGCAGCAACTGGACTGCAGCCCTCCAGAATACATGGGGCAAGAGTTGTGCTGGGTAAATGAAAAGGAGGAGGGGGAAAAAGGCACTTTTGACTGACTTTTATGATGTGGGTAGATTTTGTCGATGTAGAGCCACATCATCGATACCCGTAGTCAACACAGTGGAATAGAACCCGTGATTTCGGCCATAACAGCCAGATGACTTGATCACTGCAACCATGACCCAGTGACCAAAGTGAAAGTGAACCCATACTGTTCTTGACATTCAGCACACCCCAGTAGTGCAGTTGCAGCAAGGGCTTACACGTCAGCACTTGACATCCAAGAGATCCTCCGCAAGTGGCATCCAGCCTCCACGCAGACACCACTGCCCAGGTAACCTCTTTCGGTAGGTTACGGCGCTCGTACACTGTTGGTAGACTTGGTTAGAAAAAGCGAAAAAATAGGGCTTAGTGACAGTTCTTTTTGTATGCAGTTGTTTGTCCTTTTGGGTGACCCACTGATCCCCTGTTCTTTTCTTTTTATTTTTTTAGCACGAGGAGTGCCCCATCCATTCTGGGGGGCTCAGTCCGGTTGCTTATCACCGGCAAGCATGATGCAAGTAACAAGAGAAGAGAAGTTATCTGATCCACTGTCGTTTCAGTAGGCAAGGGGACATCGAGTTATCTGACCATCCTACAAAAGGGAAGAAGAAGCAGGAATCAAACCATCGAGCTCCGGGCTAACAATTCTATGCTTACCTTGCATTGTTTGCAGACAAATTCTTCAACAAATCCAGCTTACTTCAGCTGCAGGGCATGTCATACACCAGCCCAACAACTGACAACAATCGCAGTTGGGCCTGCGGCTGGCAAATCTGTGACCACCTGTCACCTCTGTGTGTGTGTGTGTGTGTGTGTGTGTGTGTGTGTGTGTAGACGGAGATACACGACCAACGTGAAGGGAAGCGAGACCAACAAGTGTGTGTGTGTGTGTGTGTGTGTGTGTGTGTGTGTGTGTGTGTGTGTGTGTGTGTGTGTG